TTCCCTTTCAATTCAAAATTTCCTATTTAGCTCTGTTTTTTTTTTTAATTCCAAATGCTGAACCTCTGACGGACCTATTAAGCTCAGTTTCCTTTCAACTCAAAAGGCTGCATCTCAAACGGATCTTTATTTTACTCAGTTTCCTTTCAATTCAGAAAACTGCATCTCTGACGAATCAATTTAGCTCAGTTTCTTTTCAAAAGTCTGCATCCCTGACGGATAATTATGCTCAGTTTCCTTTAATAAAAAAATATCCCATTTCCATTTGGAATAAACAGGCTATTTTCATCATACGCTGCGTTTCAAAACATTTAAATAGGCTGACGAATCAATTTTGCTCAGTTTCCTTTTAATGGCTGCATCTCTGACAAATCTATAAAACTCAGTTTTCTTTCAATTCAAAAAGCAATGGATAGTTCATTTCCCAGTGACTATGCAGGCGAAGCCGCGGGTAACAGCTAGTCTCTTTTATAAATATAATATATCGCATGCTTTTGTATATTGCGTTTTAAAGGAAACCTTAACAATTGTGCTGTGTCGTGATCAGATAGATAAATTGGTAGTACTGCTGCAGTTGCATCCGGAATATTACTTAAAATTTGGTCGATGCAGGATGACTTTCGTGTGGGTACATCAATGTGTATTTTTAAATTGTAGTTATAGAATAAATCTTGTAGTTCATTTGTGATGTTGTCTCTTTTTAATGTGTTTATGTTAAAATCACCAGCCAATACTATTTGTGCTCTAGATTGGTACTTCATAGTTAAATCGTGTAAGAGATTATTTAGTTTGCGTAAAAACTGTTTCGGATCTGATTGGGGTGTTCTGTAGAGACAGACAGACAGTTATTAATTTAACACACGTTAGTTCAATGCCGCAGACTTCAAACGTATTCTGCAACGCATATTTTTTTGTTAATGACAGTTCATTAAAAATTAATCCTTTTTTAACTAAGATACAGGTTCCCCCTCTTTACTTTTCTCTGCAGAAATTGGCGGCCTTGACGTAACCGGTTAATCTTAAAAACTTCTCACAACCTTTTTTTATAAAAGTTTCCGAAAGATAAATAACGTCCGGGTCACTGTTACTCTCCTGTAACTCCTGTATAGTTATTTCTATTAAATCTTGTTTTAACAAAGCACTGGCGATATTTTGATGTAAAAATATAAAATTATATGCAGCAGGAATTTGTTTTTTACGGTCGAAAAAATGTATTATTCTTTTTTTATTACGGGAAAATAATAAGGTATCATTCCTCTCTTAAAACGTTCAACTGGTTTTGCGGAGATGTCAGTTTGTTTCTTAAAATAAAACGGGATTGTTCGTTTTTTGGGTTAATTTAAGATTTTACGCATTTTAAAACTTGACTTATTGCTTGCTATACGTTTACTGATTTCGCTAGGGTTTAAATATTTGTTTTTTTGTGAGCCGTGGTAGCTCAGATGGTTAGCACTCGCTGTAAATTTCACAATACGTGAGCAAACCAGGTTCGATCCCCACCGGCACCAATGAAATTGTTAAATGCAATTTTAAGTGCTGATTTACCACGTGCTCGGCGGTGAAGGAAAAAACATCGTGAGAAAACCTGCATGTCTGCGAATTAAGAAAAAAATATTTCGAAGACATGTGAAGTTCGCCAACACGCATTAGGGCAGCGCGGCGGACTATTCCTTGCCCTAAAACCCTCTCAGAAATGAGGGGAGGCCTGTGCCCAGCAGTGGGACGTATATAGGCTGTAACTTTACTTTACTTTACTTTTTTTAAATATTTGTTTGCATAATCATTACAGTCGATAACATAATTAATTAATTTACAAATTTCCGAACGATTAGAGTGTTTACAATCCAGAAAATGACAATTTTTATATTTCTTACCGTAGACAGAGAAACCTATAGACAAATTGAAGCCTTCTTTCGCATTCGCACACGAAAAAGATAGATTTATGCATACGTCTTGCATAGAAATGAGATAGAGTGGTGTGATTATTTGTCCCTTTCTTCGTGCCGGTTTTTTGTTTAGCAAACTCTTCAGTTTGCTAAACAACTTTGACAACGTAGCGATTTAAGGAGTTTACAAGTTGGTTTAAGTAAGAAAAAAAGTGTTTTGTGAGCTTAAGATTGGTGAATCTTGTTCAGTTCAGTTCTTAGAACAATTAAAATTTTATCTAAATATGTTTAAAAGTCATAAAGATTATTCTATAACCTAAAAATTCGTTATCGTTCTTTCTCACTCGAGGCCACGGCGATCATTAGTCTATAGGTTTCTCTGTCTACGTTTCTTACATATATTTCTAATAAAATAATTTAATTTGTTAATATTAATATTTTTTTAATAACATTTAGCACAATTATCGTATTATTACTAAAGGAGTCAAGTATACATTGTAGCTGTGATAAAACTAGCTGTATATTGTAATCATTTTCCTCTTAGTGTCAACTTTTTTACTTGGCGCCGTTTCAATTATATGTCGCGTTGTAGCTTACCGTGGTGTCTGGATGATTGAAATTTATTGTTATGTGAATAATCGGCAAAAATAATTACATAATCGGTAAAAATGTTCAAGTCATTATTTTTTTAATGTATTATTTGTTTAAAAAAGATTATTTTTAAAATTTCTTAAATTGCATGAATCATCATGAATAAAACAAATTTATTTTTTTAACTTTATCAACGTAAATTTGTGTAGGCAAAACAACTCATATACAAGGCCGCGCTGAAAAAACCACTACGTAATTTCAGTCTCCCGCCATTTTGGGAGCTTACTGTGCGTAATTTTGTGATTTTGTGTTTGTCTTCTTATTTTGTGACATGGCTTTAACTTTTTGGACTGTTTCATCTATATTCGTTGAAGCATGTGCCTGTCTCAAGGGATGATTTGGCAAAAGTGGCAGAAATACAAAAAAAATAATTATGAATGACTTTGAAAGAGACATTTATTTTGACTGCATTATTGAAAATCAAATACATATGTACTGAAGGTGACTGAATAAATTTATTTTTTCATCTAGTTTATTTTTAATTTAGTTCTTAAATTTTCATAAATTTGATTATTCCCCTAGAAATAAGCAGTAACAACAAATACCAAAAAACTGTAAATCTTGTGTTTTGAAACTATCCGTTTCCAATTTATTCTGGTATTATTCAAACCAAACTGCAAATGATAACCAACTCTAAATAATCGACATCGATTTTTAAGAATCGAATATTGTACATTTCAGTTTTTTTGGTTGGCATGCTTGGTACAATAAGTCTGACAGCGGTCGAAATGTATTTCTTACGTAGACAGAGAAACCTATAGACTAATGATTAGCGTGGCCTCGGGTGAGAAAGGACGATAATGTAGTTTTAGGTATTCACATTACAAAATAAATTATTGTAATTTGAAATAAGGCCCGCTGGGTTTCTTGCTGGTTCTTCCCAGGACAGAGGTTTTTTTACCGAACCAGTGGTAAATAAAAAAGTTACTTTCAATGATTATTATGCAATGTTTTTTATTGAAAAAAAAATCTTTATGACTTTTAAATACATTTAAATAAAAATTTTAATTGTTCTAAGATCTGAACTGAACAGGATTCACCAATCTTAAGCTCACAAAACACTTTTTTCTCACTTAAATCAAGTTGTAAAATCCTTAGATCGCTACGAACTGTCAAAGTTGTTTAGCAAAATGTAGTTTGCTAAACAAAAAAACGGCACAAAGAAATGGACAAACAATCACACCGCTCTGTCTCATTTCTATGCAAGACATATGCATAAATCTATCTTTATCGTGTGCGAATGTGAAAGAAGGCGTCAATTTGTCTATAGGTTTCTCTGTCTACGATTTCTTAGATGTGTTTGACTACAGCCGTCATAAAGGTTAGAAAACAGGAGAACTATCACAATGTATTAAAGCATGGCCCACCTGTCCTTGAAAATTATATAATTTATAGCGGAGCTGACGTCGATGAGTAGTGACTGTGAAGTTAGCTGTTTATGAGTACAAGTTGATGAAGTTAGTTGAATAATGTACAAATTTTCTCCACGGCATTGGTGAGAAAATTTTCATGCTCCGTTATTTTGTAATTTTTGACAAAAAGAAACATTAAAAAAATGGAGAAATATTTTATTGTGCGTGGATGTGCAAGTTGTTTAGCATCTGATCGGAAAAACAGACTGAAAAGGACTTTTATTGACCGAACTTAGCGATCGCAGCGCCTCACTTATGGTGTCCATTTTTCTGGGACACTATTTTTTATGGCGATCATTCTCCTGTTCTCTAAGCTTCATGATAGCCGTAGTATCCTCTTAGTAGTCAGTGCTTGTAAGCTTGCTTGTTATTTGTGTGGGTTTTTGCGGGAACTTGGCCGTAGGATTGTCGCTCCTGTTTTGACGCTTTAATAATGGTTTGAAGTGGATTTTGATTCATAAAAGTGATGCTATTTTGTGAATTAAGTATTCGCGCGTGCGAACTATTATAGAAAACGACGAAACAAGTGCTTTGACGTCGATATAAACCTCAAATTATGAGCTCGAGTGGCTGTCGTCATCAACTGTCCGCTGAGTTGAGCTGTTGGCAAATTCTCCCAAGGGCTTCGCAATGTGACGCATCAGCATATTGTGAAGATAAAATATAAAAATGAAGATTCCGAAAGAAATGATAGGCTCAGAAAGGATAGAACCCAGAGCTGTAAAGCCAGTTAATAGTAAAAATCGATACTTGTGTTCCGTTCCGTGCATAGATTAATGTTCTCTGTCTACGGTTTACTATATAGATAAGATTAGCTTGCTACATATTTATTTATCTATGGATAAGATGACTATGTACTAGAGAGTTTTCTGAGCTTACGGGTATATTTTTGAAAACTTCGGTTTATTAGTGAAAAAGCGAATATAATTACATTGATTACATTATAAAGCTATAGGAAATGGCCTTCAGTGAAATTTGTAGAATTTGTTTAAGCATTAATGTACGCATGTGTGTACTAAAAAAGACTGGCCTCCAAAATTTATATAAAGCATTGACGAACAGTTTTGTAAGTCTAATAATACTTCATAATATTGCAAATAGAAATTGCGGCAATTTGTTATCGCTGGAGAAATACATTATAACTTGCCTTATATTGATCGGAGCTAGGCTAAGGTGCAATGCTAAATAAAGAGTCCAATACAACCAGAACCAGAAAGTACATAAGTACTTAAGAGTTTTATTAACGAAAAATTGTACAAAAAGGGTTATTATAATGTCAATGAAAACATAAATTAAATTAACCCCTTGGAATGAGGTGATCGCCACCAAGCTGATTGTATAAAAGTTAATTCAAAAATTGTACAAAATAAATTATTGTAATGTGAAATAAGTCCCGCTGGGTTTCTTGCTGGTTCTTCCCAGGACAGAGGTTTTTTTACCGAACCAGTGGTAAATAAAAAAGTTACTTTCAATGATTATTAAGCAATGTTTTTTATTGAAAAAAAAAAATCATCCATTTCATTTGTGACACGGCTTTACTCAATTTGATATGATGCCTCTAAGATGTGTATTGTATGGGTACTGGAATAATAGTTTGTGTCAAAAATTTCTAGTTCATCGTGTCTATGTATTATATTTCCATCAAGTCTCCTCATTTTCTGTGATCTTTCAGAGTTGTAAGTTCAAGTGTTGAAAACACTTTTTTGAAAAGACTCCTCATATGGTATGTTTTCAATGGTCTAGGAACTTTTGAATATTTGTTTGGAATCTCTCCAGTAACTCAGTATAATATGGGAAGCATATTCCAAATTAGGTTGAATATATGTTATATATTTTAAGAATCATTTTTGGTATTATTATTATTTGTCATAGTTTCCACTAGGCTAGGTGGGTTGGCAACTGCAGTTTTTTAATTATTCTGACCTGTTATGTGCTGCTACCCATATCCATATGAAATAGAATAATTTAATTGTTAGATTTGACATCTAACAATAAAATTTATTTTACCTTATCTGGAACTTACTTTATACTGCAGTGGATAATAAATCAAAAAATTTATAACTGCTCAGGGAAGTGTGGTTATTAATTTCATTTGAAATTAGTGACAGTGGATTAATTTCTCGAAACTAAGTGATAGTGGATCATTTGAAACTAAGTGTAGTAATGTGTAGTTAGATTGAGGATTGCAAATTTATGAAGGTAGTAAGTTCAAATCTGCCATTTCACTATTGTTGTAAATTACTCCTAGTGCAAGCATTTTTAGTAAAGTTTTTGTAATATTAATAGTGATGCTAGTAGTTTAAAGTTAAAATATGAATGTAGGTTTATTAGGATTGTATTTTGAAAGCCAAAACTTGAAAATAACTTTGTTAGGGTTCGAAGAGTCAGGATCAACTGCTTTTAAAATTTTATCTGTTAGTGTCATGCAGACTGCTACTTACTTGACACTCATAACATTTTAAATTAATTAGAGAAATGTGTCCATATATTAACCGCTCACGGAAAGTTTGCCAATGACACCATGATGTCACTTATGGGTCATTGGGAAAATTTAATAAAACAGTGAATAATGTTGGAGCGAGAGCAATAAATTCAAAGATGGTGCACATGTGAGCGCATAACTGTGTTGTTAACAGTACTAAGTAGGTGAGGGCAGGATGCAGTTGGTGGAGACTAGAAACGGGTAGTCATAGGCAAACTCTGCATGCGGCTAGTAGAGAACTATCAACAGATGGTAGACAATTCTCGAGTGGTAGCCCCAGACTGGTAAGCAAATTGTAGAGTGGCCTCCCCATTAGATAGTGACAATCTGGTAAGATAGGAAATCGTTGTTATAACAAAATGGTGTTGAAGAAGAGAGTTGTGGTGGCCAATATATTTAATTACAAAATTGTATATTTAAGTAGTTTTCTGAATTTATGACAAACTTATATTTTCAGATGGATGAAGATGAGGAGCCCGTAATTGTCTGTTTCATCTGTCATGCAAGACTCATTCGATGCAGAACATTACAACAACAGGCTATTGAGTCAAATGCAGTTCTGGAACAGTTGCTTGCAGGAGGATCCATGGTATTATCCATTCCATCAATTAAATCCTATAAAAGTCTGTCATAGGAGGAATTTTGCCAAATTTGCCACGCTCTCCAGGTTGGAAACCACTGTTTATACTAGTGTGAGTTGTTATCAGCAAGATGCCGCTGCCCAACTCCTGTTCCTGTTTCCCTCTGTTGGCTCTTACGACACCCGTCCCGTGGGTAGGTATATATTGGTCTGAGTAGTTATCAGGAAGATGCTGCTGCCCAACTCCTGTTTCTGTTTCCCTCTGTCGGCTCTTACGACACCCGTCCCGTGGGTAGGTATATATTGGTCTGAGTAGTTATCAGCAAGATGCTGCTGCCCAACTCCTGTTCCTGTTTTCCTCTGTCGGCTCTTACGACACCCGTCCCGTGGGTAGGTACATAGGGCAGTGGATATTCTTAAAGCATCACTACAAGGTCTGCGGAATAATACTTTTCTTATTAATAAAAGTTCACTGCTTGATGGGTCATTCCCATTATAATGAAATATTTGCCTCAATCATCACTCGGCAGGCATCTTAATGATCACTATAATGTTGGCTTATTAACGCAAATCTATACCAGCTGTCACAAATTATGTGTCGTACCCTGAAACAGAAACGGAAACAGAAACTTTTTATTTTATGTAAATTATAAATAATACTTATTGAGTCACTTTTTTTCATTTACCACTGGTTCGCAAAAAAACTTCTGTCCTAGGGACAATATTTTTTAAATAAGAGCTTACAATCACGTATCTTACAATTAACACAAAACAAATTAGAAATAGCTTGGTAGCAATCACCACGGTAATATTATCTATACAGTATTGTAACTCGGCCGTATCTTTCAAATAAATGCCTACAGTCGTGCGGCACGTAAACATCCGATAGGGCTACCTGCCTCCAGCAATTTTACATTTGCCTACTTTGTGTTTCCATTTAGTTTTATGCATGAACGTACTAAGAATAGTACGTTCATGGTTTTATGATTGTAAATATACTTTTTATATAAACAAATAAAATAGGTACTTTGTGAATTGAATAGGAAGTGTTCAATAAAAATGCGTGTCGTTTTTTGATTGGTAGATTTAATTAAAAAACCATGTTTATGTTTGAATAACAAATCGGTTAAATAAATTTGCGACCGAAAAATATTTGCACCTCGGCTGAGACTTACGAAATGCTTTATTATTAGATTTTTAAATATAAAAAATCTGCTTTCTAATATAAAGCTAAAAATAATATAAATTAAAAATTATTTTGGGAAACATGGACAACGTGGAGAAAAGGAATATCTTTTAATTGGTTATAGATACCTGCAGCTACTTTACAATTTATATGTTTGTTTTTGAATGAAGTTCAGATTTATTATTTCTTTATTTCTATTCTATTATTTATTTCCTCCATTTTTTTATACATTTCACAAAATCATGACTGCGGCACAGTCTCGACTGTCTGCATGCCGAGCGCATGCCGAGATCGAGGCGCGTAGGCATAGCTCTCACTTCGTCCGTTTGTATGAAGTTGGAATACTGTATAGATAATATTACCGTGCAATCACTCTTCCCAGGGGTTATTATCATCCATAAATTCCTTAATATTATGATAACCCTTTTTATACAAACTTAGTTTAATAAAGTTTTTGAACTGTGTATGTCATGTGATAATTCTGTATATTATCTACTACGCGTTATTTTAATATAGTAACTCCTGTTCACAAGAGTGGAGATGAGAAGGATATCAACAACTACAGACCAATTGCGCTTAAAAGCTATAGATATTCAAAAGCTACAGAAAAACTTATCAACAAGAGGCTCACAAGGTTCCTCAATAAGTTGCACATCTTATCCAGTTTGGCTTTCAAGCAGGAAATTCGACTGAAGACGCTGTAGAAGCCCTAACATCTGTATTTGTTGATAGTTTTTATAAAAATTTAAATTGCCTCACGGTGGTTCTTGATTTTAAAAAGGCTTTTGACATTGTGTACCTCCATTATGTTGCAGAAGTTACAAAATTGTGGGATCTGAGATGTGCTCAAGTAGAATATAACACACACACACTATACATTCACTACACACACAGACTACACACACTATTTCTACTTTCAAAATTTCAAAACAAATATATTGTTTACCTAGAGATGGGCCGAATATGGATTTCACTGAATACGAATATTCGGCCGAATGTTCGGTAACACTTTTACCCAACCGAACATTCGGCCGAACATTATTCGGCAGGATTACCTCGGTACCTAACAAATTTATGTCGGAACTTGTTGCCATAGCGCGCGTGGGACTATCGTCGGACCCTGCCCCTCGCTCTCCCGCCACATCTGACATGTTATTGCATCATCTAGTACTGAGAAAATTGCTGGTACATGCTTATGTTTTGACTATTTTTGTTTGAGAAAAAAGTATTTCGTTGTGATATTCTTAGTGAAAATTTATAATTATATAATAAAAATGAGTGGCAGGAGATCTATTCTTTGGACTTATTTTAGAGAAACTTACGACTAAAGTAAATTGAATGATACTAATGTAATGTTTCTTTGTTTAATTTTAAAAACATTTTGTCAAGCTTTCTATTTGCTATAATTGGAAATAAATCTATAATGCCTCAAAAACATAACATGACATGGTATTACTCAATTCGTATATTTTAATACAGTGGACACCTTGAGTACCACTTTAATGAATGTTCGGTGATTTAGCCGAATATTCGGCCGAATACGAATATTAGGTAAAACTGCCGAATATGCCGAATACCGAATATAAAACGAATATTCGGCCCATCTCTATTGTTTACGCCCAGTTTTAAATTTAGTACATACGGTTCTTGCTTTAGTAAAATTTATGTATTAAAAACATATGTTGTAAAAAAAAACCAAGTCTCGCAACACAGTTTTTCTACCGTAAAAAGTTGTGAGATCCATGTAATACCAATTCGGTTAATATATTCAGTTCCTACTTAAGGGTCCTTCTGTTTTAAGTTATTACGTAATTAGCTAACCTAACAACATTTTATAGTGACTGGTGGAGCGACGAGCCTAACCAGTGACCATATCAATGTTAAAAATGTTTTATGTTTTAAATATATAGATTGATTTGGCCATCGCATGAAAACACAATGTGTCAATTAGATTGCTTAGTGCGATTGCCAAGTCAATTTATATATTTAAAACATAAAAGATTTTTAATATTGATACGGTCACTATAAAATGTTGTTAGGTAAGTGAAGTAATAACAAAACAGAAGGACCTTAAGTAGGAATGAATATAAGAATTGGTTTAGGATTCAAATTTTTACGGTAGAAAAACTGAGTTGCGAGACTTGGTTTATTTTACAAGATATGTTTTTGATAGCATCTTATTTCTTTTTGTATATAAGATAGTCCTACTTTTTACCTTTACGGTACCTTCTACTTCTTGAAAATCAACAACGTACTTATCTACAACTGTTATACATATACAAGTACACTGACTCATTTACTGCAAATGTAACTTTGCAATTCTATATCTTTGTATGGGATTACAAAGTTATTTATGCAGTTGGCGTATCTAGAAAACTGGACCGAAATTTAAAAATATTTTTAGTTTTTCCTTGATTTATATACTAAACACTAATTACATTCTAAATTTGAAGCTTCTATGTCTGCTAGAACTGCCTTAGAGTTTTGATGATCGGTCAGTCAGTGAGTGACAAAATTAAGAAACTTTGACTAGTTATAATTCTTAAACTACTGGTTCAAATTGAATGAAATTTGAAACATATCATGTTTATACAATGCCTACTCGGTTGCTAAAAAATCAGGCTTCTAGTTTTATTGACTACAAAGTTATAGGGAGTCAAAAATGGCCCGAATTGCTTCGGGAAAAGTATGGTACGGCCGTGCCGCTTTTTTGCTCGACTTGTCGGGGGCACTACCGTGCCCCCAGATGATGTGGAAGAGGGGCTTACTTCTGATACGGGCATATTTCGCATTCGAAAGCAGAAGTCTGCCATTGTATATGTACTTGTTTATGAATAAAACCTTGTTATTTATTTTATTTTTTTATATCCGAGAATGTATTTTCTACTGGAAAGTTAAGTTTGTCTTTCAATCCAACTTACTTTTTCGTAAGAACAATGTTCTATATTTTAGGAATTGCAGTAAGTGAAGTACTTACTTTAAAAAAAAATTATCAAACTGTTTATATTGTTATGTATCACTCTATTGTGTATAAACGAAATATTATCTATAGGTGGTAAATATTACTAGTAAACTTTTGTCAATATACGGTATTTGTGAATCTGAATGGAAAAATTGTTTAGTCTCGATTCTAATTATATTTCTAAACTATCTACATTCTTATTTAAATTTAATGGGAACTCTCACTTTTGCCGGTTTTATTGTTATTTGGAGTTGTTGTCAGGAAGATGCTGCATCTGCGGGATGGTATGGGGTAGTATGGATTCTCCTACACTTATTTAAATAAGAGTTTGGTTTCAGTCGATACCAAAACCGCATGAGGCTAGACATGAGATTCAATTCACACCAATTAATCATCTAGATATCTGGCCATTTGAGTGTGATGTAGAAAATGATTGTAAGGACGACATTTTTAGCCTTGAATCTGTTAAACTTGAGGAAGAGAAATTCGGAAATGAGAATTTTAAATTTGAAGTCAACGGGAGTCATGAAATAGGTAAGATATACACATTTTGTGATATTTTAAGGTACAATTTACCTAGTGGCAAATGTTTACTGTAGCCAATGGACACAAAATACTCTTTATTTTAATTACTCTTTAATTTAAATAAAGAGGGCCTCATGTGCAATGTACTGATTTGCCTTTGCCTATATTCAGAGTGCAAGTATAAAGCACTCATGGAGAAAGAAAATAACTAATTAAATAATTATTTAAAGGATAAATATTTTGACGCTGTATAAATGCAGCCAGTATGTATGTACACTAAGATGTATTCACTTCATAAGAATTAATGATATACTTACAGCTGGTAAGCTAGCACCTATCTTTGCCAATTTCTTAATCCAGATGGACTCCTCCATCCTCCTGTTGCCTATTTCTGTCTGAGGAGTATAGTCAGTATAATCACAGGCTGTGGGACATTGCATCTTAGTTGCCAGAGGTAGGCTTGTGAAAAAAATACCGATTATTTATTTAATCGATTTTTAAAGAGATTTTACTCTAACAGTTTTCGATTTTTGTAGCAGAGAGTTAAGCTTAGAGTTTGCTTGAAACATTCCCAATTTATACTTTATCGCAATCATTTTGTTCAAATTTTATAAAAAGCAATAAATATTAGTCTCCCATACAGTATTGTTGAAGGCGAAGGTTTTCAAAACTGATAAAGTTACTTGCACCCTTGTACAAAATAGCATGTCGGAAAACAGTGACAGACATAATAGACAGAAAATATGAAGAGAAAAAGGCTACAGAAATTGCGTGCAGTAAACAACATATGTATTGGATTGGGTAAATTACTCTCGTTACTGTCCGACATAGTAATTTATTTTTCCCGTGGTCGTACTACGGGTGGAGTTGGTTTAAAACGGTAAAAAGCCGTCACGATAATTAACAACAATATAATTCTAGGTGAAAATCACTTAAATAATCACTAACATAAATCACAACGTAACTCTATGTACAAACTGTACGGAACGCGGGACAGTTTGTAAACAACTTCACTCTCCGACAGCCCACGTAAATAGGTGTGCAGCTCCGGTCGACCGCTACGTCGTAGACTCTATCCTGTGCCCTCAGATGGCTTTTGCGTTCTGATTGCTTAAAATAATCATTCCGGATGTGAAACGATTGCGACATATGTTTCACAGTACATGAGTGGGAAGACTCGCAGATGAGTAGTTGTCTGTTGTGCGATATATAAATCCGATTGAAAGCGATTGCGACATATGTTTCACAGTAGATGAGTGGGAAGACTCGCAGATGAGTAGTTGTCTGTTGTGCGATATATAAATCCGATTGAAAGCGATTGCGACATATGTTTCACAGTACATGAGTGGGAAGACTCGCAGATGAGTAGTTGTCTGTTGTGCGATATATAAATCCGATTGAAAGCGATTGCGACATATGTTTCACAGTACATGAGTGGGAAGACTCGCAGATGAGTAGTTGTCTGTTGTGCGATATATAAATCCGATTGAAAGCGATTGCGACATATGTTTCACAGTACATGAGTGGGAAGACTCGCAGATGAGTAGTTGTCTGTTGTGCGATATATAAATCCGATTGAAAGCGATTGCGACATATGTTTCACAGTACATGAGTGGGAAGACTCGCAGATGAGTAGTTGTCTGTTGTGCGATGTATAAATCCGATTGAAAGCGATTGCGACATATGTTTCACAGTACATGAGTGGGAAGACTCGCAGATGAGTACTTGTCTGTTGTGCGATATATAAATCCGATTGAAAGCGATTGCGACATATGTTTCACAGTACATGAGTGGGAAGACTCGCAGATGAGTAGTTGTCTGTTGTGCGATATATAAATCCGATTGAAAGTGATTGCGACATATGTTTCACAGTACATGAGTGGGAAGACTCGCAGATGAGTAGTTGTCTGTTGTGCGATATATAAATCCGATTGAAAGCGATTGCGACATATGTTTCACAGTACATGAGTGGGAAGACTCGCAGATGAGTAGTTGTCTGTTGTGCGATATATAAATCCGATTGAAAGCGATTGCGACATATGTTTCACAGTACATGAGTGGGAAGACTCGCAGATGAGTAGTTGTCTGTTGTGCGATATATAAATCCGATTGAAAGCGATTGCGACATATGTTTCACAGTAGATGAGTGGGAAGACTCGCAGATGAGTAGTTGTCTGTTGTGCGATATATAAATCCGATTGAAAGCGATTGCGACATATGTTTCACAGTACATGAGTGGGAAGACTCGCAGATGAGTAGTTGTCTGTTGTGCGATATATAAATCCGATTGAAAGCGATTGCGACATATGTTTCACAGTACATGAGTGGGAAGACTCGCAGATGAGTAGTTGTCTGTTGTGCGATATATAAATCCGATTGAAAGCGATTGCGACATATGTTTCACAGTACATGAGTGGGAAGACTCGCAGATGAGTAGTTGTCTGTTGTGCGATATATAAATCCGATTGAAAGCGATTGCGACATATGTTTCACAGTAGATGAGTGGGAAGACTCGCAGATGAGTAGTTGTCTGTTGTGCGATATATAAATCCGATTGAAAGCGATTGCGACACATGTTTCACAGTACATGAGTGGGAAGACTCGCAGATGAGTAGTTGTGTGTTGTGCGATATATAAATCCGATTGAAAGTGATTGCGACATATGTTTCACAGTACATGAGTGGGAAGACTCGCAGATGAGTAGTTGTCTGTTGTGCGATATATAAATCCGATTGAAAGCGATTGCGACATATGTTTCACAGTACATGAGTGGGAAGACTCGCAGATGAGTAGTGTGTTGTGCGATATATAAATCCGATTGAAAGCGATTGCGACACATGTTTCACAGTACATGAGTGGGAAGACTCGCAGATGAGTAGTTGTCTGTTGTGCGATATATAAATCCGATTGAAAGTGATTGCGACATATGTTTCACAGTACATGAGTGGGAAGACTCGCAGATGAGTAGTTGTCTGTTGTGCGATATATAAATCCGATTGAAAGCGATTGCGACATATGTTTCACAGTACATGAGTGGGAAGACTCGCAGATGAGTACTTGTCTGTTGTGCGATATATAAATCCGATTGAAAGCGATTGCGACACATGTTTCACAGTACATGAGTGGGAAGACTCGCAGATGAGTAGTTGTGTGTTGTGCGATATATAAATCCGATTGAAAGCGATTGCGACATATGTTTCACAGTACATGAGTGGGAAGACTCGCAGATGAGTAGTTGTCTGTTGTGCGATATATAAATCCGATTGAAAGCGATTGCGACATATGTTTCACAGTACATGAGTGGGAAGACTCGCAGATGAGTAGTTGTCTGTTGTGCGATATATAAATCCGATTGAAAGCGATTGCGACATATGTTTCACAGTACATGAGTGGGAAGACTCGCAGATGAGTAGTTGTGTGTTGTGCGATATATAAATCCGATTGAAAGCGATTGCGACATATGTTTCACAGTACATGAGTGGGAAGACTCGCAGATGAGTACTTGTCTGTTGTGCGATATATAAATCCGATTGAAAGCGATTGCGACATATGTTTCACAGTACATGAGTGGGAAGACTCGCAGATGAGTAATTGTCTGTTGTGCGATATATAAATCCGATTGAAAGCGATTGCGACATATGTTTCACAGTACTTGAGTGGGAAGACTCGCAGATGAGTACTTGTCTGTTGTGCGATATATAAATCCGATTGAAAGCGATTGCGACATATGTTTCACAGTACATGAGTGGGAAGACTCGCAGATGAGTAGTTGTCTGTTGTGCGATATATAAATCCGATTGAAAGCGATTGCGACATATGTTTCACAGTACATGAGTGGGAAGACTCGCAGATGAGTAGTTGTCTGTTGTGCGATATATAAATCCGATTGAAAGCGATTGCGACATATGTTTCACAGTACGTGAGTGGGAAGACTCGCAGATGAGTAGTTGTCTGTTGTGTGCGATATATAAATCCGATTGAAAGCGATTGCGACATATGTTTCACAGTACATGAGTGGGAAGACTCGCAGATGAGTAATTGTCTGTTGTGCGATATATAAATCCGATTGAAAGCGATTGCGACATATGTTTCACAGTACATGAGTGGGAAGACTCGCAGATGAGTAGTTGTCTGTTGTGCGATATAAATAAATCCGATTGAAAGCGATTGCGACACATATGTTTCACAGTACATGAGTGGGAAGACTCGCAGATGATGATAGTTGTTGTGTTGTGCGATATATAAATCCGATTGAAAGCGATTGCGACATATGTTTCACAGTACATGAGTGGGAAGACTCGCAGATGAGTAGTTGTCTGTTGTGCGATATATAAATCCGATTGAAAGCGATTGCGACATATGTTTCACAGTACATGAGTGGGAAGACTCGCAGATGAGTACTTGTCTGTTGTGCGATATATAAATCCGATTGAAAGCGATTGCGACATATGTTTCACAGTACATGAGTGGGAAGACTCGCAGATGAGTACTTGTCTGTTGTGCGATATATAAATCCGATTGAAAGTGATTGCGACATATGTTTCACAGTACATGAGTGGGAAGACTCGCAGATGAGTAGTTGTCTGTTGTGCGATATATAAATCCGATTGAAAGCGATTGCGACATATGTTTCACAGTACATGAGTGGGAAGACTCGCAGATGAGTACTTGTCTGTTGTGCGATATATAAATCCGATTGAAAGCGATTGCGACATATGTTTCACAGTACATGAGTGGGAAGACTCGCAGATGAGTACTTGTCTGTTGTGCGATATATAAATCCGATTGAAAGCGATTGCGACATATGTTTCACAGTACATGAGTGGGAAGACTCGCAGATGAGTACTTGTCTGTTGTGCGATATATAAATCCGATTGAAAGTGATTGCGACATATGTTTCACAGTACATGAGTGGGAAGACTCGCAGATGAGTAGTTGTCTGTTGTGCGATATATAAATCCGATTGAAAGCGATTGCGACATATGTTTCACAGTACATGAGTGGGAAGACTCGCAGATGAGTAGTTGTCTGTTGTGCGATATATAAATCCGATTGAAAGCGATTGCGACATATGTTTCACAGTACATGAGTGGGAAGACTCGCAGATGAGTAGTTGTCTGTTGTGCGATATATAAATCCGATTGAAAGCGATTGCGACATATGTTTCACAGTACATGAGTGGGAAGACTCGCAGATGAGTACTTGTCTGTTGTGCGATATATAAATCCGATTGAAAGCGATTGCGACATATGTTTCACAGTACATGAGTGGGAAGACTCGCAGATGAGTAGTTGTCTGTTGTGCGATATATAAATCCGATTGAAAGCGATTGCGACATATGTTTCACAGTACATGAGTGGGAAGACTCGCAGATGAGTAGTTGTCTGTTGTGCGATATATAAATCCGATTGAAAGCGATTGCGACATATGTTTCACAGTACATGAGTGGGAAGACTCGCAGATGAGTAGTTGTGTGTTGTGCGATATATAAATCCGATTGAAAGCGATTGCGACATATGTTTCACAGTACATGAGTGGGAAGACTCGCAGATGAGTAGTTGTCTGTTGTGCGATATATAAATCCGATTGAAAGCGATTGCGACATATGTTTCACAGTACATGAGTGGGAAGACTCGCAGATGAGTAGTTGTCTGTTGTGCGATATATAAATCCGATTGAAAGCGATTGCGACATATGTTTCACAGTACATGAGTGGGAAGACTCGCAGATGAGTAGTTGTCTGTTGTGCGATATATAAATCCGATTGAAAGCGATTGCGACATATGTTTCACAGTAGATGAGTGGGAAGACTCGCAGATGAGTAGTTGTCTGTTGTGCGATATATAAATCCGATTGAAAGCGATTGCGACATATGTTTCACAGTACATGAGTGGGAAGACTCGCAGATGAGTAGTTGTCTGTTGTGCGATATATAAATCCGATTGAAAGCGATTGCGACATATGTTTCACAGTACATGAGTGGGAAGACTCGCAGATGAGTAGTTGTCTGTTGTGCGATATATAAATCCGATTGAAAGCGATTGCGACATATGTTTCACAGTACATGAGTGGGAAGACTCGCAGATGAGTAGTTGTCTGTTGTGCGATATATAAATCCGATTGAAAGCGATTGCGACATATGTTTCACAGTACATGAGTGGGAAGACTCGCAGATGAGTAGTTGTCTGTTGTGCGATATATAAATCCGATTGAAAGCGATTGCGACATATGTTTCACAGTACATGAGTGGGAAGACTCGCAGATGAGTAGTTGTCTGTTGTGCGATATATAAATCCGATTGAAAGCGATTGCGACATATGTTTCACAGTACATGAGTGGGAAGACTCGCAGATGAGTAGTTGTCTGTTGTGCGATATATAAATCCGATTGAAAGCGATTGCGACATATGTTTCACAGTACATGAGTGGGAAGACTCGCAGATGAGTAGTTGTCTGTTGTGCGATATATAAATCCGATTGAAAGCGATTGCGACATATGTTTCACAGTAGATGAGTGGGAAGACTCGCAGATGAGTAGTTGTCTGTTGTGCGATATATAAATCCGATTGAAAGCGATTGCGACATATGTTTCACAGTACATGAGTGGGAAGACTCGCAGATGAGTAGTTGTCTGTTGTGCGATATATAAATCCGATTGAAAGCGATTGCGACATATGTTTCACAGTACATGAGTGGGAAGACTCGCAGATGAGTAGTTGTCTGTTGTGCGATATATAAATCCGATTGAAAGCGATTGCGACATATGTTTCATAGTACATGAGTGGGAAGACTCGCAGATGAGTAGTTGTCTGTTGTGCGATATATAAATCCGATTGAAAGAGGTTGACGAAAAATTCGATGCTGTAAAAATCGATTTTTGATGCCTTCCCTTACATCCCTAGTTAGAGTGAAAGCGCATTGTAGCCTTTTATGTCTGAAGTTAACACACTAACGAAGTACAGTACCCACTTACCTTCAGGTTGATCAGCTACATACCCTAAGGTAGACTGTTTGTTTGTCTCTTCATACTAAAAAATATATAGAGAAAAGGTGCTCAAGGTATCACCTACTAAAACAAGTTGTGGCGGAACACTCACTAAATGAGGTGAATGAATCATCGTCATCGTTGCAGCCCTTCACAAGTCCACTCCTGAACATATGCTTCCCCCAAGGAACACCACAAAGCACGGTCCTGAGCCACCTGCATCCATCGACTTCCTGCATGTCTTACCAGTTTGTCACTCCATCTAGTGGGGGACCGCCCTACACTTCGTCTACCGGCACGAGGCTGCCACAATTACGTCACGTTAGGAGAACCTTTCTTCTCCATCGGTTGTCAGTTCTTCGGCCCATTGCCACTTCAGGTTATTACACATAGCTTATCAAACATGCAGTATGGTAATGAAAGTGGGTGGCTCGGGACCATAAGCTGTGTGATGGACTGTAATGATCTAGTTGCTTGGACAAAACATCAGTTGTTATTTTATATATTGAGTCAGAATCTGTTTCATTCTAGATACTGCTGGAAAACAAAAAGACTTGGAGATTGATGCTTTTGAAGACCGATATGAGGATTCGGAGAACGACTTGCCACTAATTTCATTAGGTGCAAAGAGTAAAAGAGATGACGTTGACATAGGTAAAATAATTTATTAAAAAAACTGTATCAAAAAATAACAAAAACCAAACGTTAGAAATTTTTCTTGTATCATGTACATACAAAATTTTATTCTTTTATTACACATGAACAAACTAAATGATAATTTGTTGTGACCCAAATGAACCAAAATGATTATTTGTACGCCATACAATTATGTTGTTTTAAGCAAGAACTGAGTTCGCCGGTGGTGACCCAAGGTGTTATTAAGATAAAACAGGAAAGAAGTTCACTGATTTGTTGATAGGGCTACTAACGTCTGAGAAAGCTGTTGTAAGTACATCTGCTAATCATGAGATCCTGGGTTAGGCAAAAAACAAAATCACAAAATAAAATAACATTAAAAAAGAATTAATATTTGTAGCAACAGGAATTAAAAGACTGTGCGAGGATGTAAATTTTCTCGGTTATTATAAATGCCTGTAATTTTTAAAATACATAGCAAAGATTTTTTTTAAATGCTTCTGTTAACTATTATGACAACCCGACTCCAACTTAACGTCGATTTGTGGGACAATCTGTATATATACACATAGAAAATTAACAATTTTATGGGTGCTGGTGGAGAACGAACCTGGGTTGCTAGCATACTGTGAAATTTTGATGTACTAGGGCTTGTTTTGTGTCTTTGTATGGCCTACAGATAATTCCTCTATCTTAATCGTTAAGTAAACTTCCACTGCTGCACATGGAAGGAATTTGCCTCAGTCGTCACGCTTGGCATAGGATTGACGATCGCAGAACCAGACGTGAGCACCTCTGGCAATGTTGCCTGTCGCCGGTCTGGATATTTTACATCTGAAGTAAACGAGGTGGTTATACCGCCATCTGTCGGAAAACCAAACCCAAAGTCGCCTCTTACGAAACCCACGGGATAAAATGTGATAATGAATTCTCTTATGCCGCACTTACACGCCAAATGCGACTGTACTGTGTGTGTAACACTAGTTCTGTGTGGAATTCGAAACAGCAATTAGATAGATAGATAAAAAATACTGGTCAAAATGTATGTATGTATGTATAACACTCTTTCTGTGTGGGATTTGAACCAGCGATCATTAGATTAATATAATTATAACACGGTCAGAACAACGTCAACATTGTTCATATCAAATTTAGATTCTATTCCATTCTTTCCCACCAAAAATGAATGTGTTATTTAGAGAAATTGGCTAAAATACTTTATATCTAGCAACATTATTTAGTATAATTATGTAAAATATTATAATTTCTCTATATCTCCCTGGGTTGACTGATAGAGAGAATGCCATGAGACATAAACTCCGCCTAATGTAAACCGTCTAAGTTATCTTACAAGAAAGATACAATATCTTACAATAAATAAAATGTTTGATTCATTTTTGTTTCAGAACAACCCTGCATACAAACAAATATGTTTTCGAAACCGTGTGAGATTAAATCAAATTCTACTGATTGTAACATAAATGATGTTCGTAAAAGAAACCTCGATTTAGAAATCCCTACTATTAAATCAAAGCCTAAACTGAAAAGAGATACTAAACCAGTTATTAAAAAAGGGAAGCATCCTGCAAAAATCATGAAAAAGAAAAATTTTAAACAGAGTGTAAATATACTTACGAAAAACACATCTGAGGCATCAGCAAAATACATTTTTGAATGTGATGATTGTAGAAAAAAGTTTTTAACAAAAGATATTCTCGCCGACCACATATCATACAGTCATAAGACGCAAAAGAACTCGGATGCAGTTCAGACACAAGTTGAACAAACTCCAGTACCACAACTAGTGGATATACATTACTGTGATATTTGCGAATTTAAAACATCTCATAAACGTTGCATTTTAGTACATCTTAAAGCGCACGTCGCTAATCAAGTGTACTGTTGTAGTAATTGTGATTATAAATCTACACATAAAGGAAATTTTCAAACGCATATGAAAATACACACCGGAGAAAAACCTTTTTCGTGTATTATCTGTGAATTTAGATGCATTACAAAGAGTCATTTGCAAAAACACATGAAAATACATACCGGTGAAAAACCTTTTTCGTGTGATATCTGTAAATATAGATGTATTAGAAAAAGTAATTTGCAAAGACATATGAAAATACACACCGGTGAAAAACCTTTTTCGTGTAATATCTGTGAATTTAGATGTATTACAAGGTGTCATCTGCAAAAACATATGAAAATACACACCGGAGAAAAACCATTTTCGTGTAATATTTGCGAATATAAATGTACACTAAAAGGTACTATGAGAACACACAAAAAAATACACACAGGTCAAAAACCTTTTTCGTGTGATATCTGTGAATTTAGGTGTACTAAAAAAAGTTATTTGCAAACACATATGAGAATACACACCGGAGAAAAACCTTTTTCGTGTAATATATGTGAATTTAGATGTATTACAAAAAGTAATTTGCAAAAACATATGAAAAAACACACCGGTGAAAACCCTTTTTCATGTAATATCTATGAATATAAATGTATTTCAAAAAGTAATTTGCAAACACATACGAAAATACACACCGGTGAAAAATCTTTTTCATGTAATACTTGTGGATATAGATGTATTAGAAAAAGTCATTTGCAAACGCATTTGAAAATACACACCGGTGAAAAACCTTTTTCGTGTAATATCTGTAAATATAGATGTATTACAAAAAGTGATTTGCAAAGGCATATGATAAAACACACCGGAGAAAAACCTTTTTCATGTAATACCTGTGAATATAGATGTATTAGAAAAAGTTATTTGCAAACGCATATGAAAATACACACCGGTGAGAAACCTTTTTCGTGTAATACCTGTGAATATAGATGTATTAGTAAACGTACTTTGCAAAGGCATTTGAATATACACACCGGAGAAAAACCTTTTTCTTGTAATATCTGTAAATATAGATGGACGACAAAAGGTAATTTGCAAAGGCATTTGTGTACTAAATCTTCTTCGTGAGGTATCTGATAAAATATGTATAATAGCTGTGAAAACCCGCTTCGCTGGGTTAGTTTTTGTCGAATATTTATTCATGTGTGTATATTTTATTTAATAAGTTATTTTTTTAATTCAGAACACGTGATATTTCTTGTTATATTTTTAAGTTTTTTTCTTCTTACATATTTTTTTATTCATTATACAAAAATACTTTAGAGATAGTCATGTACTAAATACCTATATTACAATACATTCTTATGCACTACATTTATTGTCTTATGTTCTGGTGCATCTGATGAGATGACCATGTGAAAAACAGGATTCTCCCAAATTCACTCCACAATATTGGATTGTTTGATAAATTATTTGAAATTAATTGAATTCGAGGTATAAAAACGGATTTTCCTTTATCCTTGCCAGTTAGAATTACTGCCTCAATAATGTTGTTGAGAAGTTGTTTTATCTGCTGACATGACCCTGTTAACCACTGGTTTACAACACATTTCCTCCCTAAACTGACCTGTTAACTCCTGTCGTAACGTACATTTGGGTATAGTCGTTAAAAAAAGAGCTATATTTCAATGAATGTAGGTCTTATTCATAGTATCGTACTTGTTGCCTTTTAAGTATGATATTTTACGCCTTTAAGCTTTAAACGACCCATCTAGAGCCAGTAAACACGTCGGATTTTGTACCTAGTGTGTACCCGACCTTGTCGCGCCTTACTTTCACACATAAACTATACATGTGATACCTTTTTTGAAAGGAAATTAAAAATGCTATTTAATAAGCTTAGAATTACTGCCGATTATTTATGGGGTAGGAAAAGGTTTTTTTTGTTTTCTGTTTCAATATTGATAACAGATACTGCTACAATTTTTATCAGTTCTGTTAAGGATGAAATAACCTTTGCATTGGTTTCAATTATTTGTGAATATTTGAGTTTTTATTAATGCTATAAATACATCTTAAGTTTAACCATATTTACGCTGCGCGCCGCCCAAACGTTTGGTAAGTTTAAACCCTTGTAATAGCATGTTTTTGTACTACGATATGTATCTTTTAAATTATTTTCTTACTGTGTATGTTCTCAGTAAGGTTTTTTGAATAAAAATCCCTACGTCATCGATTTGCTTTTTGATTTATGAACAGCTTTGCAAAAGTTGCGCTCGAAATTCACTATTTCCAACTTGAAGAGTTTCTATTTAAAAACAAGGTGTCATAAATTAAATTATAATACCCAAGTTCAATGACTCATTTATTCAGCGACACAAAAAACAAACACTTGCTCTGTTATTCAAAAAAAAACTTAACTCTTATATGTATTTTTGTGTAACCCCGCAAGCAGGACGCTCGTTTTTTTTTAATCTATGCAACTCGGGGCACTTGACGGGTAGTCACAAGTGCCGCTGTGGGCACTTTAATGATATAATCCAATTGTGTATTGGGCGTCTGAGCGGTGTTACAGAATTTTGGCGAATCGGCTTCAATACATGCAAAGACATACCAGGCAGATTCGGTGAATTTAAAATCTCTGTTGGTAAGTTCACGCTTTCGTCTTGATTCATCATTGTGTCCATTGATTTATACAGTTTTTCATCTGGTGTCATATTCTGTATACTTTCATTAATTTGATGCACTACATCATTTTTTTGTAGTTAAAATTGCTCGCTCACACAACCATGTCCTATTTAGATAATTCTGTTCATTAGACGGATAAACTTTTTCAATAAGTTCTTCATTTGTACCTACTGCGTTACATAATTCTTCTGATAGAATAAGTTTGCCTAAATGTGAATCTATATAGGATATATAATATAAAATAGGTGTCAATGCCAATGTTTAACATATTTTTAACTAACTTTTGTGCTTTCGGATCTCCAGTAATCTTTGCTCGCAATTTTTTCTGTTAATGATAATTTATCGATACGATCCCAGAACGTTAATCGCTTCAAACATGCGATTTTTTAATAACCTTGTCTAACTTAACTAACCTAACCTTGTTTGTCGAAAATCTCCGGATAATAATAGTAAATACTTTGTACTGGTATTATCAGTTAAAATAGTGTACTGTTTAATAATTAATAGTATAAAACTAAGTTGCAGGTACATTCAGCAATTATGGGTACTTTAAGATCGATAGAAAATTCTTTCAGTTGTTCCAACAAAATATAGAGCCTGTCTGTGTACAAATGTTTTATGAATAGCTTCTATCTTTTACATGTATTGATTATTGGTGAGTATTCATCCCAAATACCATTAAAGTAACATGATTAAAGCCAAGATGAGTAAGGGGTAATATGTCCACGTATAATATTACCTACACACGCTGTACCTATAGTAAGAAAGATGTTTAAAACTGGTTGTGCTAATGATAAAAAACACAAAGTTTAATGCCACTGCCCAATAAATGCAGTTGTGGTGTGGAATTATACTTGGTGTTTTGTAAATCATCATTTCAAGTAGATGATGAGAACACACGGACAGATATGCACCGTGTTAAAACTTTGTTTTAATATGTTTCGGTTGATTAGTTAGTACTAATATATCTTTAACAACATTAAACCCAAAATGACAGGGTAATAGCATACCCATTTATGGCAAGTAAAATGTTTTGAACTGGTTGTTTAGTTAGAAAAAAATTAATATCACTGTAAAAAAGTAGCATAAACAGTTGTGTGGGAACTTTGTTTGTATTGATTGATTGATTAGCATATCCTGTACATTATTTAAGTCTAGTAATGTAAACAATAATATATATTAAGCTGGACATTTGAAATTGAACACGTAAGAATGTAAAAATTCACTGTATTTATTATAATTGATCATCATCATAAAGCAGTATATACAGGCAAGCGCAATGTATAAACTTTGTTTTAAAATGGGTTAACTGATTAATTAATTAAGCTAAAAACACTAGGTAATATTATGTTTATCTATGTAATAACACACTAATAAATACTGAGGAAATAAGATGTTTTAAACTGGTTATGTAAGGATAACAAAAACACATGTATAATTTCAACTGTATTTATCATTTTGATTAGTAAGTATAAAACATTATTAACGTCAAAATAACTTGATCAGAAGGACATTTTCTATGATCAGATTCAGTATCTATAGACCGCATTTGCATATTTCTGTTATCATTTTGTATCTGCCTACGGGCAGTTCCGCAAGCTTTCAGCCTGCAAGGCATACAGATTTGTTATAAGCGATCCACCTGAAAAAGTTAATGAATGTTGTAGAGTATCTTTACTAAATAATAATTCTTATCAAAATATTATTTTTTCTATATTTATTGCTTTTATATGTTTATGTTGTATTAATTAAGTAATAATTTATATTTCAAACACTATTAAAGCCAACAAAACATGTTCATTCATCGTTAGGAATCAGAAGGACATTTTCAATAATAAGAGATATGAGATAAAACTGTTGCCTTCAATGTCAATAAACTATATATTTCCATAGTTCTGTTAACCAATTATATTATTATATTAAAAAAATACCAATAATTAAAGAGCTACAGTATATATATACACAGAATAATTGTGGATTTACATCAACAATATTTGATTATGTACTAGTACAAGTAATCTGACTTTTTATTTTCACTGGTCTTATGTTAGTTAACAAGATATTATTTTTATATTAAGTACTTGAAGACAAAAAAAATTGTATTTAAAATTTTATATGTGGTAGAGCTATGCTGTAGTTATATTAGTAGTATAGTTGTAGCACGAATGGGTCGGCTCGACCGGGGAAGGACCACACTCTCACAGAATCCAGCGTAAAATAGCAGCTTAATGTTGCTGTGTTTCGTATGGAGAATGTAGAGAACCCGAGACCCTTTTTAATGGAAACGAGGCATTCCATCTTTTTTTTTGTAGAAGAGGGGGCAAACGAGCATGCGGCTCACCTGATGTTAAGTGACTACCGCCGCCCATGATCTACCGCAACACCAGGGGAATTACAGGTGCATTGCCGGCCCTTTAGAAAGGAGTAAGCTCTTTTCTTGAAGATCCCTAGGTCTTATCGGTCCAAAATAATCGCCGGTGGTAAACAATTTCACAGAGAGGTCATACGCGGAAGAAAACTCATTGTGAAACGTACAGTGGTGCACCGCCAGGTATCCAGATGGTGTGGATGGTATCGGGACGTTTGCCGCGTAGTGCGTTCACGAAATTTGGCTGCGGAAAATGTAGGTGCTTTAAAAATTTTAACTGAATATTCTCTAGCTTTTGAATATACGTCACATATTGAGGATTCCATATTATACTATCCAGAATACTTCTGACATATGCAAAGTATAGTACTCGTAAACATCCAATTTCTGAAAAGGGGTTACTTACTCGTAAAACAAAACCTAAATTTTTGTATGCTTTCGCGACTATTGTATCGATATGTTACTACTCTACACTACACATTGAATTAACGACATGAGAAAGACGTGTTACTTGGCGGTCTTAGATTTTTATTCCAAAGTGGTGAAAAAAGTTACCTTTTTTTATTAGAAATATATACTAAATCGTTCAGCAGACTGAGTGCTTTTGTGTAGTGTAATTTAAACAATAAAATTTGGAATAAAAAGGGGTGAAAACATTGATTCAGTGAATCTTGTGTAGGGTACTGTGACATTAAATCAACATATTTGCTTAGGCGTCCTGAGATACTGTCGTCATCGACTGTCGGTTAGCCCAAGCTGAAATCGAAATCTCTCAAAATGTGCGTCATTTTATTTATTAATTCATAAACTGAAACGAACTTTAATATATTAATTTTAAAAAATTATTACAATTCTTAAACACTTGACACTACCAACACCACTATACTAGGAAATACCCAAGATCGGAATTTAAAATCCGAGTGAATATACGAGTTGTGTTTACGTGAGAGTGTATCATTTCTAACATATTAAACATTTAATAACCTAAATCTTATGAACTAACGTTGTAGTGTTTTAATAACAAAAGAAGTGATAAAGTAAACCAAAATTGTCTTTATCAAAGAAGTGTTGTTATATAATATATATAATTCCAAATATTTCCACTTAATGAATAATAGAAATATTGGCGAATGTTGAAGAATGAAGTGTATCCTCCTCAATAATTAAACATTTATGCTGTATAAATTGCATTACTGCCTACAAAAGTTATATATTGAACAGTATATTTGTGATGTGTACGATATAATGTGTTTATTCCGACTGTAGCTATAAAATGTATTCATAAGATTTGTGGAAGAAATATTAGTATAATAATTATAATTGACAATTTCAACGGCTACCCACTATTGAAAAATATGAAAATTTGTAATAATATTGATAATTTCAATCCATGACTTAATAGAAGATTGGTCTAATCAGCTTAACTTAGTGTGTTATTCACTTCTTACAATACAATTAGGTGTGGGATCGAGTCCAACCCACGAGTTTAAAAACATCTTTTATTTTATATTCGTATATACTTTTATTTCTTGTTATCGCTTATATAACGAAGGGCGTATTTTAATATTATATGTAAAAAATTATTTAATAAGCAGTCCCAATTAAAAAATGGAATTTGGAAATATAACGTACAGAAAACCACAACGCTCTAGTTCGTTACAAGATATGTCAGATCTCAATTCCTCTTCTACACTGTTTGACGCAACCGTGGCAAGCTTACCGAATGCATCTCTATATGAAAGTCAAAATAATATTGATTTAAATGAAAAAATAAATAAACTGTCGAGTGACTTATTAATTGCTCATCAAGAAATAGATAATCTCAATAGTGAAAATACTAGTTTAAAGTTAGAAATTGAAAAATACAAAAAAATAATTAAAACATTTAAAAAAATTACTACATATTCCTCATGTAATACGATTTAAATGACGAAGACCTTAAAAACTACTATATACAGTATAGAAATATTTGTAACAAGATTGTAAAAACATTAAAGTGTAACTATTATCAATCTCAACTCGAAAAACATGCAGGAAACAGCAAAGAAACATGGAAAACTATTAAAGAATTGTGTAATCTGAATAAACCAAAATCGAAATCTATGGAACTATTAAGAATCAAAGAAAATTCAACTGACTCCCTTAATGAGGTTAATAAGTACTTTACATCGATTGGTAAAATCCTTGCCAACGAGACTCTTAATAAGTTAAATAAAAGCGAGGCAGATTTAACACGAGAAGCAACTAATAACAATAGTCCTAAAAACTCCATGCTACTGTTACCAACTGACCCAGTGGAAGTAAGATGCGTGATATTGAATCTTAAGAATAATAGTGCTGCAGGTCATGATCAAATTCCTACAA